GTCTAAATAACAGGCAGTCACTCCCCTCCTCCACCCTGAAGAAAAACTAGAGATGTGCTCTCCGGAAAGGCTGTGTATAAACTGGAAGTCCTAAGAACGAGTGAAGGCAGGGGTGCCATTCTAAAGACAAAAATTAAGTGTCAGTTACATAATAATGGTAAGACCCTGGGCCTTCTGCCTTCAACTCAGCTCCCAAATGGTGGAAAGAAGCTTTCTACCTGCAAAGTAACAGACTAGAGAACTCCTCTCCTGGGAAACACAAAGCCTAGAGAATAAAAACTATATATACTAAGTTTGGGGTCCCCTCAAATAAATGAACAGGTCCCTGTCTGATTTTTCTAGTGTGAGAGCCCACTCCATCCTCATTCGTCTAACACACAAATGGTAACTAAACGTGGTGATGGGTATATTAATTAACTTGATTGTGGACATTATTTCACAATGAGTGTGTGTGTGTGTGTGTGTGTGTGTGTGTGTGTGTAAAATATATAATATAGCCAGGCGCGGTGGCTCAAGCCTGTAATCCCAGCACTTTGGGAGGCCGAGGCGGGTGGATCGCGAGGTCAAGAGATGGAGACCATCCTGGTCAACCTGGTAAAACCCTGTCTCTACTAAAAATACAAAAAATTAGCTGGGCATGGTGGCACGTGCCTGTAATCCCAGCTACTCAGGAGGCTGAGGCAGGAGAATTGCCTGAACCCAGGAGGCGGAGGTTGCAGTGAGCCGAGATCGCGCCATTGCACTCCAGTATGGGTAACAAGAGCGAAACTCCATCTCAAAAAAATATATATATAAAATATATAATATATATAATATATATAAAATATATATAATATATAAAATATATATAATATATATAAAATAAATATATAAAATAAATATATATAATATATAATATATATAATATATATAAAATATATATAATATATAATATATATATTATATATATATAAAATCATCACATTATACACCTTGAATATTTATAACTTTTATTTCGCAATTATACCTCAATAGAGCTAAAGAAAAAGCCAAGCCCATTTTTACAGGGCTTTCAATGGGCATTTTAGTTTGTCATTCTTGAAAATAGATAGACCATCCTTACATTTATGGTCAACTGATTTTCAACATGACAACTCAGAAGTGAAACAGTCTTTTCAACAAATGCTGCTAGGACAACTTGACATCCACCTGCAAGAAAGATGAATATAGGCCTCTGCCTCACATCATACCCAAAAATTAACTCAAAATTAATTACAGACTAAACATAAGGGCAAAAACTATAAACTGTTAGAAGACAGCAAGAAGTAAACCTTCATAACCTTAGATTAAGCCAAAGATTTTACAAATGACAAAAAAAAAAAAAAACACAAACAAAAGGAAAAATACATAAGTTGGACTTCATTAAAATAAAAAACTTCTGAATTTCAAAGATCACTATCAGAGAAGTAAAATAAAGCCCCACAGAATGAAAAAAAAAAATCTGCAAATCATGTATCTGTCAAGGGATGACTATTCAAAATATATAAAGAACTTTTACAATCTTAATGATAAAAAGAACCCACAATTTAAAACAGCCAAGTGATTAAAGTAGACATTTCGCCAAAGAAAATATATAAATGGCCAATGAGCAGACGAAAACATGTTGAACAGCATTAGTTATTTGGGAAATGCAAATTAAAGCAAGATCTCACTTCCCACCTACTAGGATGCCTATAATAAAATAGAAAATAATAAGTGTTGCTGAGGATGTGAAGAAATTGTAAACCTCATATGTAGCTAATAGGAATACAAAATGATGCAACTACTTTGGAAAACTGTTTGGGGATTCCTCAAATGTTAAACATAGAGTTATCGTATAACCCAGCAATTCTACTTCTAGGTATATATCCAAGAAAAACTAAAACGTATGTCCACATAAAAATGTGTATACATTATTTCATAGCACTTTTATTCATATATATTTTATTTTTTCATATACTCTTGGGGGGGAAAACCCAATTATGCATCAACTGATTAACGTATAAACAGAATGTGTATATCCATATACTGGAATATTATTTGGTGATAAAATGAAGTATGGATACATGCTACAGTGTGGATGAGCTCTGAAAATATTATGGTAAGTGAAAGAAGCCAGAAACAAAGGCTAAGTGCTGTTTATTCCTTTTAATGTGAAATGTCCAGAATATGCAAATCCATAAAAAAAAGTAGATATGTGGCTGCTAAGGCCTGGGCAGAGGAAGGAATGGGAAGTGACTGCTACTGGCTTTGGGATTCCTTTCGGGGTGATAAAAATGTTCTGGAATTAGATGGTGGTGATGGTTGCGTAACTCTGGGAATATACTAAAAACCACTTAATTTTACACTTCAAATTCGTGGATTTTATGGTGTACAGATTATATATCAATAAGGCTGCTGTTTAAAGGAAAAAACCTTACACTTCAAAATGGTGGATTTTATAGTGCATAGATTATATATCAACAAGGCTGCTATTTAAAGGGAAAAAAACCTAAGTAAATTCACTTACTCTTGTGTCAACCCAGTACTGGATGTAAACAGATATTGCCTAAGTTGAAGGAAAGTAACACTCAATGTATCACTATCGACAAAACACACTTCAATTTTCTTATAGTTTCTGCAAATAATCTACGTAATGTTCTTGATTACAATAAAAATATTCTGCATACTGGAAAAAAAGAAGGGATGTTAACAATCACCAGATATTGAGGAACTATCTAACGGATTAATAAAAACTGATAAAACAAACAGTATAGCCGGGCGCGGTGGCTCAAGTCTACAATCCCAGCACTTTGGGAGGCCGAGGCGGGTGGATCACGAGGTCAAGAGACTGAGACCATCCTGGTCAACATGGTGAAACGCCGTCTCTACTAAAAATACAAAAAAATTAGCTGGGCATGGTGGCACGTGCCTGTAATCCCAGCTACTCAGGAGGCTGAGGCAGGAGAATTGCCTGAACCCAGGAGGTGGAGGTTGCGGTGAGCCGAGATCGCGCCATTGCACTCCAGCCTGGGTAACAAGAGCGAAACTCCGTCTCAAAAAAAAAAAAAAGCTGTGGTATTAATATGAATGAGTCTCTGGTACATGGAGATACATATATATCCCAACAATAAAAATAAAAGCCAGAAACAGATCCTTTAGAAGGGAATTTGGCATACCAAAGAAGGAAAGAAGGGAGATTTTCAAGCAGTAGGTAAACACTGGATTATTCAACTATAATGTTGGGACAACTGATCATCATATGGAAAACAATCATATTAGACCTTTAGGGTAGGAAAGGAGTCCCTAAGACCTCAACAGACCAAACTATAGAAGACTGTTAAGTTTGATTTCAGAATATGTAAAACTTTTATAAGACTAAAGAGATATACAGAAGTGAAGAATAAAAGCTCCTCTTTGATAAGATCAAAATTAAGAATATACTCAGGAAAATATCTTGCATCACATTTTAAAATAAAAAATAAATAGCTGGGCGCGGTGGCTCAAGCCTGTAATCCCAGCACTTTGGGAGGCCGAGGCGGGTGGATCATGAGGTCGAGAGATCGAGACCATCCTGGTCAACATGGTGAAACCCCGTCTCTACTAAAAATACAAAAAATTAGCTGGGCATGGTGGTGCGTGCCTGTAATCCCAGCTACTCAGGAGGCTGAGGCAAGAGAATTGCTTGAACTCAGGAGGCGGAGGTTGCAGTGAGCCGAGATCGCGTCATTGCACTCCAGCCTGGGTAACAAGAGCGAAACTCCGTCTCAAAAAAAAAATAAATAAATAAAAATAAATAAATAAATAAAATAAAAATAAAAACTGAATATTTTCACAGCAACAGGCATATATGGTAAAAGTATAAACATAAGCAAAGGATAGACAATCATCACCAACTTCAAGACAGTTGGTTATGTGTATGAGAAGCAAGAGTAAGTGATGGATGAGAAGGGATTTCTTAAGATGTATTCGCAATATTGTATCTATCTGTAAAAATAAGTTTGAAAATAGCAAAATGTTAATGCCTATTAATTCTGGGTGGTGGCAATATAGGTGTCTAATATCAATTTTCTGTATTCTTAAAATATTTCTTAATGAAAATACATACAATATAGCAAAGATAGCCAAGAGAATAAAAAGTAAAAAATAGATGAGACACTGAAAGCAAGGAGGGAAGAGGTGCAAGTGAGTGGAAGCTCCGTAATTTATACTGCATGGGTCAACAGGTGTTATTTATAGTTGATGAATCAGAAAATAGGAGTTAAGCATACTACAGTATCTAGAATTATGAAGGTAACCTGCAACAGATTGAAAATCAGAAAACCACCAGCTGAGTAAAAAGGAGTCTGTTGCTTTTCAAGTGTTTGACCATTTGAAATTTTTTTTTTTTTTTGAGACGGAGTTTCGCTCTTGTTACCCAGGCTGGAGTGCAATGGCGCCATCTCAGCTCACCGCAACCTCCGCCTCCTGAGTTCAGGCAATTCTCCTGCCTCAGCCTCCTGAGTAGCTGGAATTACAGGCACGCGCCACCATGCCCAGCTAATTTTTTGTATTTTTAGTAGAGATGGGGTTTCACCATGTTGACCAGGATGGTCTCGATCTCTTGACCTCGTGATCCACCCGCCTCAGCCTCCCAAAGTGCTGGGATTACAGGCTTGAGCCAACAAGCCCGGCCCATTTGAAATATTAACACGTGCATTAGTTTTAAAATATATATATTTATACATATATATTTATTTTCTCTCTCTCTCTCATATATATATATATATATTTTTTTTTTGGAAAAAAGGGCAAACATTAATGCTTAAATTGGAGACTTTAAAAAATTCCTCTATCATCCCTAGAATAAATTTAAAATCAGGAGCTAAAGCTGTTACTCCCAGGAATTTCTAAACGTTTTGTTTCAAATAAAAGAAGAATACTATATATAAAGCACTATATACAGCAGGTTACTACAAGAAACCCAATACAAGTAAGTACTTCAAGTAGCAAAATCAATTTACCCTGAAACGATGTTGTAGTTGAGGGCGGGATGGTCTTTCGGGACAGGAGGAACAAGAGGTTCTGGTTGCCACTCTTCAATCAGTTCTTCCTTTTCCTACGGGAGAAAAAGAGTTAAAATATAGTGCAGCGCCAGTCACTTTACATCAACTTCAGCAATATCTAAATGTCTGTTGTAATGGAAAAGTCGCAGTGAATACACTGCTAGAAATATCATGTCTAGTTGTGGCTAGAATAAAAACAGAATCACTTGTGAGTCTTTGGCACCACCCTCACCTCTTTTCTTATCACTCGCTAGAGGCTCTTTTCCAAGTAGTTTTGTGGATGACTTGACAATTCATGAAAATTTTACTTCTATGCTCTGGATTTTTTTTCCTTTACCATACACAACACATCAAAATTTGATCTGAGGTAGGTGTGAGTAGAATTCTTTTCTACTCTGACTCACCTTTAAGAAGACCACAGGGGAAACTTTCTCTCACACTTCAGAAATAGTTGTACTATTCTGCAGCAACTCACACAACCCTCATATCAACATTCAAATTCCAGTAGCTGTTCATGCTTCCCTCTAACCATCTATTTCCAAGACTGCTGTTTACTCCTAGCAAAGTATCCAAGACCATAGTATGTTCTGCATTTGGGTACTGACTTTATTTCTAGATTTTCCCATATTTTGCCTACCCTGATATTTCAGTCCCCTTGATTTCCTTACATTACAGAAAATGTTTTAACACACATAATTGTGCCACCACAAATCCTTTCTGGAAAGACAAAGCAACTATAATCCCATACCCAATAATGAAACAGAGATTTAATTTCTTACCTTGACTGTAAGATCAGATCGTTCTTGTAATTTGTAAGTCTTAGAGAAAAGAAGTCTGATTATCCAGAGTATTAGAATCCCTTCCAAAATAAGATGGTAAGCAGGAGCCTAAGAGTGAGTAAAAAACAAGTAAGAAATGAAACATACACTTCTAAAATATGCACATAAAATTTACCACACCTGCATATACTGCCCCTCATGACTTTTAGCCTATTAATTCTTACTACTTACTTTCAAAGCTCCCTTAATTTCTATTTATTCCTTTCCCCATTTCTAATGGCAGGTAATTTCTCCTTCACATGAAAAACCCCTAATATTTTTGGCTTTTAAAACTTCTTTGGGAATAAAAATTAAAACTAAAAAACTGAAAAAATAAAATATAACACAGAATCTCAATATTTAAAACAACATCAACTATCAGATTATTTAATTTCAGTGCTTATTTCTTTTTGCAGGGCACCACAAAAGACTACTCAAATTCTACATTCAATGTGCATAAGAATTGGGAGTAAGAAGTTTCTCTTTAGGATGAGTTTTAAAATTTGCTGATCCCCCTGAATACAATTCATTCATGAATAAATCAAAATACGCTTTTAGTTTTCTCAATGGATTCTAGCAGGCAAACATCTGCCCAAGATACTAGTTAGAGCTCACTCCACAAAGAAATCACCCTAAGAAAAGTTGAGAAACTATCTTTTTTTTTTTGAGACGGAGTTTCGCTCTTGTTACCCAGGCTGGAATGCAATGGCGCGATCTCGGCTCACCGCAACCTCCGCCTCCTGGGTTCAGGCAATTCTCCTGCCTCAGCCTCCTGAGTAGCTGGGATTACAGGCACGCACCACCATGCCCAGCTATTTTTTTTGTATTTTTAGTAGAGACGGGGTTTCACCATGTTGACCAAGATGGTCTCGATCTCTTGACCTTGTGATCCACCCGCCTCGGCCTCCCAAAGTGCTGGGATTACAGGCTTGAGCCACCGTGCCCGGCGAGAAACTATCTAACCAGTGAATTAATAAAAATCACAAACACCACTTCTTTTCCTCCCCAGGAAATGTTACATACAGGAGTTCTCCCAAGTCTCCCCGCTGGACAATTTTGAAATATGAAGTTACACTACTTCAGTCTTCAAAAAGGGAACAACATTTAACAGAAAATCCATTTCTTAAAAATATCATATATAAAAAAGGATCATTCAATTTTAGTGGTTCATTTTAGGTCAGTCTAACCTAATACTGGACATCACTTAATATATGAGGATAAGAGAGAGCCACATCTGCTCCCTCTGCTATGTTTCAAGATAAAATTCCCAATATGTCTTGCAATGGAAACACCACCATTACCCCTGCCAATAGACAGTTATATTAAGTTTTGGTGATATTAAATCATCAAAAGTACGTGAAATTCACTTGAAATAAATGTAAGCTCTATAAGCACAGGGACTTTTGCCTGTTTGTTCACTGCACTATCCCCAGCATCTAGATCTGTGTGGTCCAACATGGACGGTCACTAGTTACATGTGGCTATTTAAGTTTTAAAAATTCAGTTCCAGCTGGGCATGGTGGCTTATGCCTGTAATTCCAGCATTTGGGGAAGCTGAAGCAGGAGGACTGCTTGAGGCCAGGAGTTCAAGACCGGCCTGGGCAACATAGTAAGACCTCCATCTCTTTAAAAAAAAAAAAAAAAAAAAAAAAAAAAAAAAAAATTAACTGGGTGTGCTGGTATGTAGTCCCAACTACTGGGGAGTCTGAGGTGGGAGGATCGCTTGAGTCTGGCAGGTCAAGGAAGAAGTGAGCTGATTCCGACACTGCACTCCACCCTGGGCAACAGAGTGAAACCCTGTCTAAAAAAAAAAAAATAGTAAGTTCCTAATGAATAGCTCAGAGAAGATTCGGAGAGCTCTGAGGGGCAGCGCGGGGAATCTCATAAATGAATGAACACTGAGACTGACATTCTGGTTTCATGTTATCTTATGTATCTGAAATATCTAGCCTTTCAAAAAAAACTCAACTGTTCTTTCTTTAAAAATTTACGGCAGGGCTCGGTGACTAACACCTGTAATCCCAGCAATTTGGGAGGCCGAGGCGAGCGGATCACCTGAGGTCAGGAGTTTGAGACCAATCTGACCAACATGAAGAAACCCTATCTGTACTAAAAATACAAAATTAGCCAGGCGTGGTGGCACATGTCTCTAATCCCAGCTACTCGGTAGACTGAGGCAGGAATCGCTTGAACCCGGGAGGCGGAGGTTGGGGTGAGCTGAGATTGCGCCATTGTACTCTAGCTTGGACAACAAGAGTGAAACTCCATCTCAATATATTAATAAATAAAAATAAAAATCTACTAAAATAATTGTATCTTTGTAAGACAGAAAACTGATGCTCATGGAAGAATGGCAATTTATTTACAAATCCTAAATAAATTGGTTCCTTTTCGACAAAAACAAACTCCAATTTATTACAATTCTATTCCCCAATTAACTGTTCATAGTTCCAAGGAACTGACTTCCTTAGGACCTTCCCAGAGGAAGGTTTTCCACTCATTTTCACCACACCGTTTTACCGAACGTCTAACTGGTTTTTGTAGACCTGCCTCCTGCGTCCTCTTACATGTGTTCCTTTCCCGAGCCTCGAGGGGACCTGGAGCATAAGAACTCAAACCGAGACCCTCGGTCTCAGCCCGGCCCGTTCCTCCCTATACTCAGCTCCTGGGACTGGAAGATTCCGGCACTCCTTCCAGCAAGCCTGACCGAGCCAGTCCCGCTGAGGTCTCAGGCCATAAATTCACATACGCCATCCTAGCCTCCCCAGGCCCAGGTGTGGTCGCGGGCCGCTCATAGCGCAGAACCCACCTCGTAGAGCGCCTGTACCATCTCCACCAGCACCCACTGCTCCGTGGCGGTAGCCATAGTTAGCCGCTGGGGATTCCTTCCGGAAGGCGGGTCACCAACGCGTCCTAAAAGTGCGCGTCGCTGCTCAATGACGTCTTCGCCTCTGCGGAGGGCGGGGCGGTGGAGCGCTGGGCACCGCCTCTTCGCACTTGCGCACTGATTGACAGGAGGTTGGGCGGGGTCGGGTGGGATGCAGGAAAGTTTCTCCAGGAATTGTTTACCTTATGTCCATTACGCCCCCTGCTGGATTCGGGATGGAGGTAGTAGACCCTTGCCCTTGGCTGTCAGCTGGGTGCAGTGTGTTAAAATGACTGCAGTACGTTTACTTTTTTTTTTTTTTTTTTTTTTAAGATGGAGTTTCGCTCTTGTTGCTCAGGCTGGAGTGCAATGGCGCGATCTCCGCTCACCGCAACCTCTGCTGCCTCCCAGGTTCAAGCTGTTCTCCTGCCTCAGCCTCCCGAGTAGCTGGTATTACAGGCATGTGACACATCGCCTGGCTAATTTTGTATTTGTATTATTATTATTATTTTCTTTCTTACTTTTTTCTTTCTTTTTTTTTTTTTTTTTTTTTTTGAGATGGAGTCTTGCCCTCTTACCCAGGCTGTAATGCAGTGGCGCGATCTCAGTTCACTGCAACCTCCGCCTCCCAGGTTCAAGGGATTCTCCTGCTTCAGCCTCCCCAGTAGCTGGGACTAGGCATGCCCGGCTAATTTTTTTTTTTTTTTTTTTTTTTTTTTTTTTGTAGTATGTTTAGTAGAGACAGGGTTTTATCATGTTATTCAGGATGGTCTCGATCTTCTGACCTCGTGATCTGCCCACCTCAGCCTCCCAAAGTGCTGGGATTACAAGCGTGAGCCACCGCTCCCGACCAATACCTTTACTTTTAATAACATAAGGCTGGGCATATCGTTGTGGCAGCTTCTATAAGAGAATGCAGCTGCCATATAGAAAGATCATCTGGGAACCACACAGAATGGGGAAGAGATGACTAAGGGTCCCCAGCTGCCCCAGCCCTTGGCTGTTTGAGTCTTACTAGACCAGGTACCAGACATGTGAGGGATGACACCTTCAAGGTGGCCCTAGTTCCAGCAGCCATCCGGTTACCACCACTGAGAGACCCTGAGTGAGGTATGCCTAGCTAAGCCCAGTTGACAACCAAATGTGTCAGCAAAACAAACGATTGTTATTGTTCTAAGCCACTGTTTTGGGATTGCTATGCAGCAGTAGACCACTGGAAGGAATACACCATGGGTTTGCTTGATTTTGCACTTTTCTTGTCCTCTGCAACAGTTTCCTAGGGCTGCTGTAACACATGATTACAAACTGGGTGCCTTGAAACACAGGGATTTATTCTCTCACATTTCTGAAGGTCAGATGTACAGAATTAAGATGTTGACAGGGCTATATTCCTCCGAAGGCTCTGGGGAGGAGAGTTTTTTGCCTTTTCCAGCAAGAGACTTAACTTAGTTACATCTGCAAAGAACCTTTTTCCAAATAGGCCATGTTCCCAGGTTCTAATCCCTGATTCGAATATTGACATGTCTTTTGGGGTCCACCATTTAATCTACTATAGTATCTGACCTCTGGCCTTCCAAATTCACACCGGCCTCATATGCAAAATACATTCATTCCATCTCAACATCTCCAAAGGTCTTAACTCTCATCCAAGTACCGTAAGAATTAGTTCAAAGAGTCCCACACATTAACACGTAAATAATCTAACAATCAAGTATAGGTGAGCTTATGGGTATGAACTATGTAAGGGCAAAATTCCTCTGCATCTCTTAACTCATGAGACTAGAAAACAAGACATCTGCTTCCAAAACACAAAGGCGGGCCATATATATGATAGACAATTTCACTGCAAAGGGGACAAAGTAGAAGGAATCAAAGTGTCATCTGTCTCAAGCAAGTCAGAAATCCAACAAGGCAAATTTATTTGGTTTCAAGGTCTGCCAATAGTCTTCCGTGGCTTGAAGCTGTGTCTTTCGGGCCCATGGCTTCACAAGCCCCTTTGCTCATGGCAGCTTGGTAGGTCTCTGCTCTTGAACCTTCAGCCTCTACCCCCTGTACCCATGACTCTGTCCTTATAGTTATTCTTCCTTTTTCTTGAAAGGCCGTGCATGCTAACACCTGAGTGATTCTGTCAGTCCTCTTCTTGCCTGAGGAAGAGGCATATCTGACAGCCTCTCTTTCACTTTGTCCTGTCTCAGTCTTTTCAGGCCAAGCTGACAGTGTTTCTTCTGATACAACCTTCTCAAGAACTTTTGAGGCTCCCATGTATGTCATAAGGATTCATGCCATTAGATAAAAGAACCCCCACAGATCTTTCCGGGATAACACTGGATCTATCCCTGGATCTGTGAGATAATTGAGGGATCTATCAGTTATATAGCAGATCTCTTCAGCACCATATCATCTAGGCATACCCTTGGCCCTTTCTCCAGGATACACTTTCCCAACAGTGAATTTCCCAGTTTTAGCACCTTTTGTAATCTGAAACTCCCAGTCAACAAGTGTTGTTTCTTTTTGCTTGACAGCTCCTTCCTCAGTTTTCTTCTTTCCTTTTGTGTTTTATTACAAACAACGTGAAGAAACCAGGCCACACCTTCAACACTTTGCTTAGAAATCTTCTCAGCTAAATATCATTGCCTAGAAATTCTGCTGTCCACCTAACTAGAGGACACAATTCATCCAAGGTCTTTGCTACTGTGTCACAAGGGTCACTTTGCCTTCGGTTCCCAATAACACGTCCCTCATTTCCTTCTTAGCCTTCAACTCAAACCAACTTTAACATCCATAGTTCTACTAATGTTCTGTTCATGATGAGGTATACATTTCTTTTTTTTTTTTTTTTTTTTTTTTGAGACGGAGTTTCACTCTTGTTACCCAGGCTGGAGTGCAATGGCGCGATCTCAGCTCACCGCAACCTCTGCCTCCTGGGTTCAGGCAATTCTCCTGCCTCAGCCTCCTGAGTAGCTGGGATTACAGGCACGTGCCACCATGCCCAGCTAATTTTTTGTATTTTTTTTTTAGTAGAGACGGGGTTTCACCATGTTGACCAGAATGGGCTCGATCTCTCGACCTCGTGATCCACCCGCCTCGGCCTCCCAAAGTGCTGGGATTACAGGCTTGAGCCACCGCGCCCGGCTGAGGTATACATTTCTAAGATGGTGGAAGAATTCTCTACCATGCTCTTCACTTCCTTATGTCCCCTCATCAGAATTGCCTTTAAAATCCGTTAACTCCACTAAGAATCTTCAAGAAAGTCTATAGTTTTTCTCTCAAGTACCTCAAAAACCACCCAACCTCTATTTATGACTCAGTTCCAAAGTTACTTCCACAATTTGAGGTATTTGTTACAGCGGCACCCACTTCCTGGTACCCAAAATCTGTATTAGTTTTCTAGTGCTGCCATAACAAATTGCCACACACTAGATGGCTTAAAACAGACAAAATTTTTTTCTCAAAAGTCTAGAGATCAGAAGTCCAACTTCATGGTGTTGACAGAGCCACACTCTTTCTGAAGGCTCGAGGAAAGAATCTTGATTCCCCTTTCCAGGTCCTGGTGGCTCCAGGAATTCTTGGCTTGTGGCAGAATCACTGCAATTTCTACCTTAATCTTTTCATGGCCTTCTCTTCCTGTATGTGTCTCCCCTCTGTGTCTCTTATAAAGTCACTTCTCTCTAAATTTAGGGCCCACCTGGGTACTTCAGGATGATCTCATCTTGAGATCCTTCATTATATCTGTTAGGACCCTTTCTCCAAATAAGGTCACATTGACACATTCTGGGGTATAGTAGGGTTCTCCAGGGAAGCAGGATAAACAGAACATACATAGATCTCTACATAAGAGGAGATTTATTATAATAATTGGCTCACATGATTATGGAAGTTGAGAAGTCCCACAATCTGCCATCTGCAAATTGGAGAACCAGGAACATTAGCAGTGTAATTCAGTCCTTGTCCAAAGGTTTAAGAACCAGGAGCAGCAAGGTCCAGGGGCAGGAGAACATGGATGCCCCAGCTTACATAGAGTAAAATTTAACCTTGCTCTGCTTTTTTGTTCTACTCAAGCTTCCTGTAGATTGAATCATACCCACCCACATTGGTGAAGGCTGTCTGCTTTATTTAGTCTATGAATGCAAATGCTAATCTCTTCTGGAAACGCCCTTACAGACACACCCGGAAATAATGTGAGCATCCCTTAGCCCAGTCAAGTTGACACCTAAAACTAACCATCACATGGAGATTAGGACATAGACATACCTTTTTGAGATCCACAATTCAACTCACTCCAGTCACCTTCCCTTCCTCATCCCAACTCCCCTTCCTTTTACCATTTTTTTCTTGGCAATGCTCACTAATAAATTACTTTTACACAAATCTTTGTTTTGTGGTCTGCTTGTGGGGAAACAAACCTAATAGGGTTTATATGTGGAGTCTCTATTTGATCCCATTCATCTATTTGTTTGTACCCATACCAATAGACTATGGCTTTAAAAAATATTTATTCTGAGATATTTGTAGATTCCTATGCAGTTGTAAGAAATAATTCAGAAAAGCTCATGGACTCTTTATCATCAATGTCATCGTTATCCAGTTTTCCCCGATGTTAACATCCTGCAAAACTATCATACACTATCACAGCCAGGATATTGACATTGACGTTGACACAGTTGAGACACAGAATCGTTTGTTTACCACAGGGCTCTCTCATGTTGTCTTTTTACCACTACACCCAGTTCCCTGCCTCTCCCGGCCCTTATTCCCTGGGCCCTGTCACTCACTAACCTCTTCTTCATTTCTATAATTTTGAGTTTCTAGAATGTTACGTAAATAGAATCACACAATAGGAGACCTTTTGGGATTAACTTTTCTTCATTGAATAAAATTCCCTAGAGATTCATCCAGGAGGTTTCATGGAATAATACTCTGTTGCTTTTGACAGCTATGTGGTATTCCATAGTATGAGTGCACCACAGTTTGTTTAGCTATTCACATGGGTGGTTTGCAGTCTCAGGCTCTCATGAATAAAAGTTGCTATAAACATTTGTGTACAGATTTTTGTGTGAACGTCAATTTTCATTGTTTCTGGAAGACTCGTCCAGGATTGCCATTG